TCGTAAACGAGAAAAGCTTGAGGTTAAACGATTCAATGTATTAAAATAATAGCGGAAAATAAAGAGTTAAAATGTTATGATTATCGAAACAGTATTAATGGAATTTGAACAAATATTCTCCAATTGTTCGTAGATTTCCGCGAGTCGAGATAATCAATTGTGTTAGATGAGCCCTAGTCCTTGCCAATCGGTACAATAAGAAAGTGGAATATGAGATGAAATCATGATTGGGTACACTTTTGAAACAGCTCAAGAGTACCATCGCTGAAGTCGAACTAACATTATAACGGTCACTAATAAATGACACTTCGATATTTAATCTGATGTTGTTCGAAGCGATTTATATTTATTAATTAAGGTTTAGGCTTTATGTTAATTGCTTTCATTTTTCACGCGTTACTTGTATTCGGCACTATGTCTCTTTAGGATTTATCCTGGTTGTAGAGTTAAATAAACCGCAACGGATTCAAGTCGTACCTATGTTGCCTTATAAATGTACCTCAACTTTATAACCAATCAGTAATATATTTTTGTTCTCTTTTAATTTTCTGTTACTAAGAAGTATTCGTTAGATTTTTGAACGAATTTGAGATATTCAACAATTGCATTGATTACACTCTATCAATAACCATAATTTATTTCATTTCATATTTTCCTTGCAAAATAAATATTTATTTTACATGGCTGTGACTTCCAAACAAAGTTAAGGAGACAAAGTTTACTCAGTAATTTCTCTCTTTCTCTCTCTGCTAGATTAATTCCTAGGTTGTTTTGACTGCAAGGATTATTTTATAAAAAATAGTCATTTTCTTTTACATGATTGCTCAGATAAACATTCAAATGAAGTATTTATTTAAGCGACTGTATTTTTTCTCCAGCGTCATTCGTAAACCATTACGAAGACAAAAAAATATTTTCTTTAATTAGTTTAGCATTCAATATGCATATTTGCGAGAGGAGGATGTGTTAAAACTCTAACTCGCTCTTCAATGAGATGAATCTCGTACATTTACAATGTGAAACACGATGTAAATACGATCCATAAATGGGCATAAGAAGAAAATACTTCGGTAAAACTGTGCGAACTCAAGTGTGTTTTCACAAGGAGTCGAAAACATTTTCGCATATTCATCAAAAGTAACATATCGCATGTGCGTCATGGTATTCAGCTCAACTGCTGTCGAAAGAGCGCGTGTAGCAGACGGCCAGTTTGTCAAAGAGAAAAGATCTAATTTATATCGAATCGCTGTTAGCAATATTTTATTTCTTGGTTCTGAAGAGAGTAACAAAGTTAAGTGTTGACTATGATCAATTTATATTCTTCTAAGGCTCTCGTATTCTTGCATTTATTTATGTTAATATGCAGTCAAACACGTTTCTATGACAAAAATAATGTAAATATTTCATGAATATGAAGTGATGTAGTATAAGGAGAACTTCAAGTTGAGATGAAACTTTGCTTTTCGTACTTAAAGGAAAACATCCAAGTGCGGACATAAGAACAATTAGAGAGTAATAAAAAAACAAATAGAGCTATCATAGGCGTGATACGATGAATCATAATGAGTTACTTTTTATGGTGGGACATGTATCTCGTGGCATACAAATTTTGACTATGCTATCGTTGTATGCAGAACTGAAAAGGATTTATTTCCACTATATAGCGAGAAAGAAATGGCATTCGATGAATTTAGCCGAAATATTATTTGCAAAAAGCATTCATGATTACGCATTCAGAACGAAGAGAAATATTTGAGTGCCACATTTAGTGAATTCTGAAGTTGATGGGTTTTTAATAACAGTGTTAATGTTCGTTTCACAGTATTCAAGAATTAGGTGTTAAGTTGAGATATTTAATTTAAAAAAATACTCGCATTGCCTGGATCCATTGTGTATACACTTTCAAACATTTTGTATTTGTCACCGAGACATTTCTGCTAACTTTCGAATGCTTATGGATTGTCTTTCCGCCATCTTCTGCTAAAGATTTCCCAAATCTATGAGGCTAACGATACGAAATAATTCAAATATGAATCAAAGAGTTATGCAAATATTGGACGTGGGTTTTTGTTTCATCGTTTAGTTGTGTGCGTTCAGGTAATTCAGGCTTGCGTTATACAGATATCTATTATATCTACAGGGTCAAAAAAACGTGGATTCCTGATTTTGAAAACTTTTTTAACAATGAAACGTTAGTCTTACTTGCTCTTCCATCATCTTCATCAATATTAATACAAAAACAAAAATCCGTGACATTCGGATATATCATTACTTTTTGCTTTAATATTTGCTAACGATGTTCTGCAAAAAAACATACTAGTTTAACGTGCCTTTACCAATAATTACTGATTCGTTATATTTTGATCATTCTAAATAGTATATTCAACTTTAAGTAATTATTAAAAATTGTGAAGCCAATTAACTAATCTCTAACAACAAAAACAAAAAGTCTAACCGATTTATAATATACACTTTCTGGCGAATGTATTCTTTCGCAAGTCTTATCGAAATATCTATAGTAAGCCACCTTTTGATTCAAGATATAAGCTCAATAAATAGTTATTTCTATTTTATCTTGAGGATGAGTTTAGATATGGTTGCGTTGAAGAGAATGTTGGCATCTGTACTTATCCTCAAGATAAATAGTCTATCTAAATAATAAATTCTATAGGGCTAGGTCAACATATTTTTTTTATTAAAAGAGATTAATTTTTAATAATTAATATCATAGCGTTTTCTCATTTCGATTTAATATCAAAAAAATATACACGACGCAAGATCTACAATTAAAAGGCACGCTCTTGCGATCAACTTTTATTTTTCTTATGAATGAATTTTATAAATAAATAATAGAAGAAAAATAATAAAATAATTATTAGCTTTCAGAATTGAAATTGAATTTAATTCAAAATAAACAGGTACTGCTTCATCCTTTTCATACGCAATTTTTTTTGTTTGATTATTATATGTGGGTGAATCCGCGGAGACCCATCCACTTTTCTGGAAAGGTTTTTTTTCGACTTTTTTTCAGTCAGAACTTCCGGTATGCTGTAGAAAACACTTTTGATGCAAAAAAATTAGACCATTCCTATTGAAAGTCTTGAGTTCGGAGTCATTTCTTCTGAAAATAACGCTGACTGTCGTTTGTCATGCTAAGTGGCACTAATTTATTTGAAGGATTTTTGTTCCTTTCTCAAAGAAACGACCTTGATCATAATTTGCTCTTAGGACAACGTCGACTAATGACTTCGCCCACGTAACGCGAGAGAAATGACATCAGATCGTCTCACAGAAGTGAGACCGCGGAATCAAAAGGAACAACATACTACTGAATGATAAACTTTCGATCTCGTTGTAAGGACGTCTTTAAATGTAAAGTCTTATGTACAAATATCGGGATTTCGGATGAATAAGATTACGAGATGAATCATCGGATATTGGAAAAGGTCATTACCAGCTGGTACGTTTTCTGATTTCTTGAGGGTGTGGGTGTGAGTGAAACAGTTAGAATAGCAACACCTACATCCACACACCCTCAAGTACAATGCGAGGGATTCGAATGATGCATGAATTCCAACCGATTAGTCACAAAACGGTTCAATACCATCACAAACATCTCGACCAACACACATCAGGACATTTACATTTAAATAAATTTCTTTTTTTTATGTCGATTTCAATGTATCAGATTTTGTAGAATGAAACTTAACAGTGATATTCAACACTTCAACACATCGGAAAATTCTCTTAGTTTCCTACTATGCCAGATTCGTTCAGTCTCAAGCTGATGGTTTAGGGTAAATCGATGTCACCATTGTAGCAGCGATGTATCATCCTGAACATCATTATCTTTATCATTAGTCTAATGAAAATCCTTCAAATAAATTAGTGTCACTCAGCATGGCAAACGAGAGTTAGCGTTATTTTCAGAAGAAATGACTCAGAACTCAAGACTTTCAATAGGAATGGCCTAATTTTTTTCCATTTAAAGGTTTTCTAAAGAGCTTTCATATTTTTCAGCATGAAAAAATTCGGAAACCTTTGTCGGACAATATACTATAGTCGTTCCGAAAAAATCTTCCAGAACTCAATATTTCCCGCTAGCAAGGTCATAGTTTTGTTTGCATCAAAAGTATTTTCTACAGCATACCGGAAGTTTCGACTGAAACAAAAATCGAAAAAAAACCTTTCCAGAAAAGTGGGTGGGTCTCCATGGATTCACCCATGTTGATAAAGTAAATATGACGATATCATTGGTAAATCTTTGTTGAAAAGTTTTCGGTAATGTAAAATCAATTGTTTGAGACGTTGTATTAGGCAATGCTAAATTTTTTTCTACACTATTCGTAGTTAATAATTTTTACGTATCACTTCATTGCAAGCGAAGATTAATTCTTTGAGATTTAAAACTTTTAATTGCATAATTCATTTGAATTGTTGGACCATGGCTGGCTGGTTCGTTAATTCAATTGAAAACATGATTGGAGAAATGAGTTGTTTTTCAGTACGCTGAACGGTTTTACCATTAGTTATTTCGATTTTTTTCAATGCTAAAAATCAAGAAAAAGTTTGATCACCAATATCATTTTGAAGCTTTTTTTAAAATTCCGATCTTGGTTTGATAGGCCATATATGTTATTCGATAATGTAAATGACCATGAATTGAATCCAGTTTATTTTTACTCCATGTGAACATTTACCTTTTGACTTTTTTCTCTTAAATAAACTAACACCAGTCGATATAAAATAACCACTTAGAAATAATTTCCTTTTTTTTTGCATATTTTAATCAATATTTTTGTTTGCTTGGCGCTGTTGACCTGTACAACTCATACATGTTCGCATATTCGTTTTCTTTAAAAATTCTTTCGACAAGAATATTAGTCGGAGATTTCTTTTCAAGTTCAATAAAATTTGAATGACTATAAAACTCGTTTAAATAAAAGAAATTATTTAAAATAATTTACTAGTAAAAGAAATAAGCCAACTCGTAATATATGTCACAACTCACCGAACGTTTTACGTGCTTGATCATAATGATCATCTTTCATAATTGAATCTACTGTGATTTGATATCGTTTTAAAATTAATTTCGATCCTCCAACAAATGTTTCACTATCGAAATGACTTTTTTCTTTGAGCATTTCTTTTAAATCTGTTTTTGTATTTGATGCTGCTATGATTTTTACTGTTTGAGGATATTCCCATGAATTAAGAGTTTTATTTAGAAATTTTTTTAAGCTATTTGTTATGTCTTTCACAATACTTTTATCACATTGACCATTTGTTCGACTAAATTTACCATCTAAATGTGTTAAATCAATTTTATATGCTAATTTGAAATAGTCAATCGTTACATGGCACAGTCCACAAACTGTTATACCATAATGTGTCGTATCTTTATCTTTCAGACGACAAGTTCCTAATTCTTTAAAGCCAGCATCAATTGCATAACTTATATTCCATGTTAATAATAGAAAATTTTTAAAAATCGAGACCCCCTTCCGTCCATATATATACACAATAGATCATCATGGTTCTTTCTTCTTTATAATCTGCATCTATGTTGCAATCTCTTATCTTGAATAAATATATTATCTACCTATGATGTGTTGCCTATGCAATCTAATAGTTATCTCAATTAAATTTCCGAGAAAAAGAAGTCTACTTTGTGTTATTACTATAGTGATGATTCATCGCTTGTTTTTAAAATATTTTAATGCAAAATTAATTCATATTGACAAAAGAGAAAGAATAAAATTTTTAAATAATATCTATTCGATATATCTCAGACGAAACAGTATAATAAAAAAAAGGCTTTGATTAATTTATGTGCTCGAAATTTTTGATATGTCAATAGAAAACTTTTAATAGAGAAAGCAAACTGATCTGATTTATTAAACATGATTTCGTAATTAGTATAGTGTTTTTCTTGTTTTCAACTAATGAATATTTGTTTCAATTAACTTCAAACGCTTCAAATGATCTGCATCCTGAGTGTTACTATGGTGGTTACTGAATACTTTGAGTATTGCGTGTCTTCTATCCAAAATTCATGTATAATATTTTCTTCTGCTAAACCAATTCTAGTTAAATACATAAAATCATTAGATGCTGACATTTTGATAATTGGGATCAGCTGACAAATGCTCCAATATTCTTTCATGATCGGAACTCGTATGCATTGAGAAGCTCTCAGAACCAATCTGATATAGCCATTACCATTCATGTTACAATTCAGATGGATTTATCATAATTTGCACAAAAAGAAAAAAGTCAATTTGAAGGCAATGAAAAGTACAATTTTCAAAAGCGAGGTTTTCCGGTTCTTCACCAGCCGCCGACCATGAACACCAATTAAGCGCCCAATTATTTATTGGGAAGAATTAAAAAAAAAAGAAATAAGGTTTTCTGATTACAGCAGATTTGTACACCCACCAAGGGGGAAAAAGTGGATTTTTGGGATTTTCAAAATCCCATAAATTGAAAAGCATTTTCCGCTCTGTGAATGACGTAGTTTCGACCTGAAATTCTTCCCATATATAGGTTTCATGGCCCATAAAAGATCCTAAAAGTTTCAACTCGAATAAATGTTTCCTTCTTAAAATATTGAATTTTCAAAAACGACTGGATTTTCTGGCCGCGCCATAAAATGAGTATTTCTTGCGCATTCATTGTCTTGAAAAAGAAACGTCTGTTTGCGCTGAACATTTTAGAACTTTCTAAGAATCATGAGACTTACATATGGGAAAAATCCAGGTGGAAATTCCATCATTCACGTTTAGGATTTTGGGATTCTCAAAATTCCAAATCCGCCGTTTCCCCCTTGACACCCACGCTATGCTATTATTACAAAATTTATCAAACGAAATACAAACATAAGTAATGTGAAAGTAGCCGATCTTTGAAATAAGGTAGATTTTTCACTAAATAGCTGCGCTGGCTAGTTTCCAGAAATCAACGATACTTTAAAAAACGAATCTGAATTTCAAGTGGAATCGATGAGATTAACATATTGAAATGTACAGAGACATGTTTATTTACTCGATTAGAACATATTATCAAGATCATGCTTTCATTATTCGCAATTACAGATTTTTTTCTTTCTATCATTCGAATTTAAAAAAATTCCAGCCAATTTTTAGCAATACTCAAAAGAAAAATGTTATTTTATTTCTCTAATACATTTTTCCTCAGCACATTTGGCAACATGTTGTTACATTGTTTCCAAATGTCAATAGAAAATATCGGTTAGCTTCCGATTGATTCTAAATAGCGAGACAAAAAAAGACGATTGAAGACAAGAATAAATACAAGGGTAGTTCTTGAACAGGCAACAGAAAAAGTAAGTATCGTAATGAACAATATTCTCTTGTTTCTCATTGGATATCTATAGTTTTGTTAATAAATGAGAAAATAAGGATGTTTCGAAACGATGAAAGACAATCAGCAACAAAAGAACCGAAAATGGAAGAAAAAAATCTTTTATCATTATTGTCTGCCTTTTATAAGTCTAAACCAAAAGAAAAGAAAAGAAAAGAACCAACAGCCCGCAAAAAAAGAAGAAAACCGTAACAAGAGTTAGCGAATAGTGCAGTATAATGGACATGTGATAAAACAGTTTCTGTTATATTAAATATGAACGCGAAACACATTTCGATTAAGAGTTTGTAAAATGTCAACTATCTATTGATTGACAGACAAAGCCAGTGCCATTTGCTAAACTATTTGATGTAGTCGAACTAGTGCGACTCATTTCTAAACGAGAAAGGAAAAAGAATTAATAAGAATATGGATGAAAACAATCTTACTATCGAATGTTGTGATGAGGAATTTCATCAGATCGGATATGGAAAGAATACCAATAACATGTTGAAGATCATCAACTATTATCAAACGATGCACCTATACAGAAGGACAATAGAAAAAGATCTAATTCAGTTGAATTTGATATTCAATAGATACATTTCAAAACAAAAATGAACGAAGAAACCTGGGCGAAATACTAATTTTATGATCGTTGAGAAAATGTCAAAATAAAATCTATTTACCTCGCGAGTAACGAATTTATCCATTAATTGAAATAAGTGATCTGTTCTTTTACATGTTATTAATTGACGAGTATTATGATCGTGTATCGAATCGAGTATATCACACAATGGCACATCAAGATTAGTATAAGCCCGTGTTGCTGCTAAATGCTAATAAAACAAAACAGAAATCAGCGGCTCTTGTTCAGTAGAATAAGCTAAAGTTTCATATACCATTATATCAAATTTGGAATAAACATCGTGAAGTTTTTTTTCGCTATCAACAACTGGTAAAGCTGAAATACGTATGGATTGAAATATGCGAAGAACTTCAATTAATTTTGTTTTTAAATCAATCTAAATAAATATTTAAAAAAATCATCTCTCAAGATTAGATCATATAAATAAAATAAGAAAAATCTTGACGTATTGCTCCCGAAGTCTTCAGTAAGGACTAGAGCAAAAACGACTATTGAGTCAAAACATGCCGATAAAATCGCTCTCCAAATTTTATTGCAGCAAATGGAAATTTTCTTGGAAGAAATCGAAAAAAAAATTTTCCGATCCAGATTCCTTTGACAGAATTAGTCTCAAAGTAGTAATATTTGTTCACGCGAAATATCAGTTTATTATTTTCAATCGTGAAAATTAAGTTAGTGACGAAGAATTTTACAATAACAAAATTTAACACTTGATGAGGAAGCTGTTTTTCGCAAACCTTATGGGATTAAAATTCCAAACAAGATCTTGAGTGTGTGAATGTGATTGAACAAATGCCCGCAGAATCTTCATTTTCCTTTTTATCATTTTTCAAAATGCGGAAATGCCGTAAACCTTAGCGAACATAGAATAATACGTAAATAAGCCTACTCCTAAAACAAATCATGGGCGATACTCTAACCAACGTAAATGATATTGTGATCGCAAAAGGTAAAGTAGAACATTTTGAACAAATTTTCGCGGTATTTAGAGAATTTTAAATATACGAGGGTTTATTTCAGGAGTAAAATGTCAATTTCTGCTGTATTAAACAAAATTCAGGATTTTAGAACGCAACGCTTAGAAAAAGAATATGAAGAGAAGTAATTATCAGAATTAAAAATTCAATTATCGAAATTTCAGCAAACTATAACAGATCAATTTGTTCAAAAGCAATCTAATGAGATAAAACAACAGTATGTAGAAACAAATTGGCAACGAATACGTTAACTAGACAGATTACTTTCAAATTGTACGCCGAGCTTTATTCATGAGGATGATACAGAGCGCAGCTTACAATTATTAGAATTTCTTAATAAGATTCCTACATCAATAGAAATTGTTCATTCAAATCAAATGGATTTTAATCAATATTTTCTATCATATTAACGAGATTTTCCGTTCACTATTATTAATGGCTGATAAAAATTATTTAAATTTATCATTCTATAAAGATTTTTCAACTATATCTTTGAAATCATCGGAAATACAATTATTTGCAATACATGATAATTCTATTGTCTACTGTGATAATTATAAATCATCTGCATCATCGTGTGGATCGGACTTACAACCTTATTTTGAACATAAGAATGCGAAGCAATTATCTCCTGATTTTTCCATAAAATGCACAGAATTCGAAGGGAGAATTATGCAAATGGAATATTGTTCCTGTCTAAATGAATTTATAAATGCAACCGGTTTGGAACTATGCACATTAAATAAAGCATATGGAAAGAAAAAATTTCGTACTACGAAATATTTTGACATTACAAGTACACAATTTCCTGGTATTCTTGAAAAATTTGTTTTTCACTCGACGAAAACATATCAAATTTATTTTCTTGTCAAAGCAATTTCTTACACGTTAATTCAGTGTGATCTAAGGAAAAATTTCCTTATATTAACTAATTGGGATTATCTGGAAAATGATGATAATAATAACAGAAATTTACCAACGACGATGAATAGACAAGCTACAACATCTAATACACAGTCAAGCGATTTAAAGATTTTACTGTGGGTAACGATTTAATTATTTTTCTAGTGACCTATCAATTAAGTAATGTAAATGATTGACTAAAAATAGTTTCGCTGTATTCCGTATGTTCAGACGGCATTCCATCTAATCAATATAATGAACTTTATGTTTGCTCACTCGAGATGAGTTTACAACATCGTCTTCAATTAAATGGATCAGATCGCCCTCTACGTATTTGTTTAGTTCTTTGTGATTATTCGTCAGCATGGAATCAGCATGAGCAATGTATAATTGCATTTGAAAAAAGAAAGACTCTATCTGTTTATGATATTGACCCGACAGATAATAAGAATAAAATACAATTTCTCGAAGAAAAGAATCCTTGATATTGAACCTGACTACGTTGGCTTTGCAAACAACGATCGATCTACTTTATTCATACGTAACAGGTTTCATATTGCTATTTACAAACGAATGGGTAGAAGTAGTCCAGAAACAGAAACAGCATCGCTTTCTTTTTTTTATGAATCTATTATATTTACTTTTTCAAACATATGCTATCTATAAAAAAACAACTTAGGAAATCCTCTATACGACTTTCAATATGTTCTCCTACAACAATAAGCAATGCTGAAAACATTTTAAAAATATATTCCTCAAGTATGAGCTCTATTTTCTACAATATCATTTGCACTTAGAAGAAAATTTCTCGAAATATAATTCATTTTTTCAGTTCGCACTTTCAACATACCTAACTACGGCCTAAGTCTTTCACTAGATTGGAATGCCAGTAAAACGATCATAGCTTAGAGTCTAACATAGAGTTGGTCAGGTCTAACATTTTTAGACCTGGGCTCACCTAAAAAATGTTTTTACTTAGAATTCTCTTGAACCACAATCTTATACTGTTAATAAAATAGTCTAATCGGAATTCGATCGTCACTTCTAAGGATATAGGACGCTTCTTCTCCGGATTCTTTCGGGATGACGAATTCAAGCACGCATTTTCGAGACTATCTTCACTGCAAGAGCCCGTCAAATCTAAGATTTTCGAACTCGAAACTCAATTCGGGTCCCCGGAAAATTAGTGTGCATCCGGAATTGGACTCCTGCGAGGTCTAGCAAAGAACCATTTGATTCTTACTGCGTTTAATATGAGCTGTTTTGATGAGTAATAAATAATTCAAGTACTTCTTTCCTATGCACATTTCGCCTATTGTGTTTATAGTGCTATTAGAACAAAACGAAGAAAACGATCTCAACGTATGAACTCCTACTGTAATAATAACAATAGAATAGATTTGCATACCATTACTATTTTTTCATAAGTACCAATTTTAACTTCCTCTAATGTTTGATGAATAAAATGAGGTTGAGGTAAATCATAGATCTAATTGAAATAAAAGATAGCAAGAGAAAACAATAAAAGAATTCAACATACATGCATGTATAAATATTTCAATATTCGTTTATGAGTAATTAAAAATAAAAAATTGTGAGTTGCAGGATCAATAACAGGTATGCGATGTATTTTCCGGTCAATTAATGTTAAAATAGCTGTATATAAACTAAATATAACAAGAAAGAAAATAAAAACATTCTTTCTAAAATGAAAATGTACGACAAAATTTATGTTTGCCTATCTTGTGGACCTAGTTGAATTATATTGGAACTAATATTTTGATTATTAGCTCCCCGTTTCTGAAGAAAATCATGTTTCCATTCAAGTATTGATGATGTTTCCAATGCTGCAATACTTTTCTGAAATAAAAATGTACATTCTATTTAACGAAAGCTAATAAAAATTAATAATCATGATTTTCTATTACGATATTAATTAGCAAAGATTTTGTATGGCTTTAAACTGAATAAAAAAAACATGTATATATATACACTAGTTAATTTTGAAATTCAACAATTTTGTGAATTGAACATTATCATTCTGTCAGTTATTATATGAAATTGAATTTTTTCCGTTGTGATCGCTACTCTATCGTACATGATAGTCACTGATAGAATATGATCGTAGATATACGAAGAGTCAGGGCGTGATTTGCTTGCGAAGTTGGTGAGGCTTATGTTCGTAGAAAGTTTCTAATTGTCTTGTTGAAATATTACAAAAGGATTTAGACCATCTGAACCTCTCTCATTCGTGTAAACGATAAATAATATTTGAATGTTCAGAATCGATTCATGTTTTCGGTAGAAATTAACAGCTTGTATCATCAATAATGTAAACGATAAGTATTCATTCAATATGATTCTACAATATTTTTAAAAATTAGGTGTAAACCTATAGCTTAGAGAAAAGCCTGCATTGGTTGGCATGAGGTTCGAATTTTCAAGGAACTGTCTTAGTCGCCATCTTCAAATGATTAGATATATTTCTAATCTAAAACTTATACCTCCGAAATATTTCTTAGGGTACGGCTGATCAGATTGATCTTTGACACTACTGTAGCTGGCAGATCCTCACGCTTTTTTGTTTTCAAGAGAAAAGTCAGTCTGATGCAGCAATTTTTCCCATTATTATATATTTATATTCATTACAGTGACAATGCTAGTTTTCGCATATTGAAGAAGATTTAATCTAAGATGACAGTACTACACTACACATGCATGTTTAAATATACATATTTTGCACTAAATATGTAATTGTAAGCGAGTGAAATTTGATAGATCAGAAAGCAAATAAATTTTATTTCGACGAGTGTCGCAAGCCTTAGAATTCAAAAACAACAACAACAACATGCAGCGTACATATTCAGCAATTCGACCGTGACGGTGACCGAGACTCATCTTTTTCTTTTAACCTAGATCGTCGTCGATATATATAGAGAGAAAAAAACGTCATGCAATGTTCTAATCATATCCCTATTCTTACGATTCGAAAATAGTTTTTTGTTTATTACAAACCAATCTGGCGACCTAAACATAGTCATTGAGTTAAAAGGAATAATGTGTCTATGTACTACCAATTCTAGTTTTCTTCCTAACCACAACTATTACGCAGAATTATTTAAATCTATTTTTGTCTTGATTTAAGTTACAACTCTTATAAAAATTCTTTACCCATTCAGCATCATAAGCAGCAGTAAGCATATTGATAAAATCACTGATTGTAACAAGACCAATAGATGACGATGTTTGCGAGTGCCATACAACAGCTGCTCGTACACCATTAAATACTAGCGCAAAAAACGCTTTTCGAATCGATAGACGTGCATCAAGTAATAGAACTTTGCCACTTTTAGGCATGCAATCATAACATGAGTGAGTTATAAAAAATGATTGATAAATCTCATCATTATCTAAACGATTGAAAATTTCGAATAAATAATCAACGGATAATATCGTTTCTAACTTACTGATTCGATGATAACTATCGTGTCGAACGCGTTTTGAACGAAGATCCTTTTATTAGAATTATTTTATCAACAACAACAACAAATTATGATCTATATCAAACTTACCGTCCAAGCAGCCTGTTCGAAAACGACGCAATTAAGCGACATATCAAAGTAGATTTAAGATAATACCTACAAGATAAAAACAAAAATGAAGCCTATAATAATAAACTAAGCAGATAGAAATATATAAAAAAAAATGTATGTCAAATATGTACATGCGTCTCGCTAGCGGAATATTTTCAGAAATATTTGCAACTCACGTGTTGATTGTTCCTATAAAAGATTTCATTTGCTGCATGAAAATTTTTTTTTGAATTCCTATTACTTTCAGCGTACTTATCAAGACATCAAATGTACACATAAAAAACGGCAAAGAAGACTTATTAGAACATATTTGATCGTACAATTTTTTCATTATTCCTTCTTTTATTTGTCTTGTACTCTTACGAGCAAAACAAAATTGAGAATTGCGCAAAAGAATAAAAATCAACGAAGTTATTCATTACGAATATTCACACGTTCTTTTATCAGTTAATATTTATTCTGGGTTCTTTTTTTTATTTTCATATCGAGCGTAAACGAAACAGACGGTTATTACGCAAATTAAATATCGGAATAGTACACTTGATGTTTCTCCAAATATAACTCTGTACATGCTCCTTGATCGAAGAAAATATAACTGGCTAATAGAGTCTCACTTGATCTGATTTTCAACGTTAACTAAATTTTTCGGATGAGACTTGATCGTCAACGAGAAAGTATTATTATACGAGCATATTCACGAGGACAAAACTTTAATAGATTTGGGTCGAAGGTCATTTTTTCTTTTCAGAATTCTTTTTTTATTCAACAATGTGATAGACATATGTATAGTTTGATGCTGCTATCGTGACTAACAACCATATGGATATCGTTTTCATTGTTCAAAACAAAACAACATTCTGATAATGTAGAATAAATGAAAACGGCCCATCATTTTATCCCTGAGAATTATTTAAAATAAAATATTCAAAATTTTCGACTATTTTTTCCTATTGGTTTCTATTTTATATTACGATGCTCAAGTCATGTAGATAAAATTTAACGAATGAGAGCGAATTTTTTCTCCTCTAGAATCAATTCCTCAGCGCTACTATCAACCTTACGAAATCCTATAACTCATAGCGCTTTAAAGGCTATTTCTTTTTCTTGTGTTCTGTTGCTCTCGTGTCATATATTGACATGAGATTGGAAGTACAATTTGAGTGATAAAATGCAAATGCCACCTCCACCACCTTCATCATCGCCCGACGGTGGTTATTTAGGCATTCCGGCTATGTCATCTCGTTTGAAAGCTCTTGAGGAGAAAATTCTACGTCAATTCGCTCCAGTTGAAACGGAAACACCGCCGACAACTAATCGAATTACAAGTCGACCTATGAATGCACAACCGCGACTGCTGCCAAGTAGGAAAATGCTTTTTCTTTGATTTTGAAATTTATATAATATTCTTTTAAATATTTGCAGCCAGTTTAAATGCTTCCTCATCGTCTCGTGCTAGTTCAGCCCCACCTATACGTAAAGGTGGTTTTCAATTGCCACTATCACCACTTCAACCATCTACAAATAATACCAGGTAGACAAAAAGCAAAGCTTAATTCTGAAATAATAAATAATAAAAATTTTCTTTAGTGAAAATACGCAAGCTAAATACCAAGAGGTGCTCAAAAATTCGGGTTTATTGCATATAAACGGCGAAGTAGAAGCGTTTACTTTGATAATTTCCGATAGAATTCTATTTTTATTTTTGTAGCAAAAACGAGTCGAACTTAAAGAACTATTAAATGTATCTCTTCTTGGTTTTGGTTCATGCGGACAAGTCTTTAAAATGGAACATGTACCAAGTAAAACAGAACTTGCTGTTAAAATTATGCATAGAACTGCATCTGATGAAGAAAATAAAAGAATTATCATGGATTTAGATGTTATTATTAAAAGTTACAATTTTCCGTATATTGTTAGATGTGTCGGCTATTTTATTAATGCTGTAAGTCTAGAGCATCGTGGTTGATTTTGAAAAGTGTTATTTAAATATTTGCGAAAAATATTTCAGACAGATGTTTGGATATGTATGGAACTAATGGCTTTATGTTTTGATAAACTTCTGAAACTTATACAACAACCTATGCCAGAATGTGTTTTAGGCAAATTAACATTTGCTGTAAGTTGAAGAAATCTATTTTTAAATTTTTATTAATAGTTTCTTTTTATTTATTTTTAGACAGTAACTGCTCTTAATTACTTGAAAGAAACCCATGGTATTATTCATCGAGGTTTGCTTTCATTTTTTCTAAGGATAATTATCAATACACTTTGCTTTGTAGACGTTAAGCCATCGAATATATTAATAGATGCTTATGGAAGAATAAAACTTTGTGATTTTGGTATTAGTGGTGTACTGATTGAATCAATGGCAAAGTCAAGAAATGCCGGCTGTGCTGCTTACATGTCACCAGAGCGTATTGAGCCATCGGATCCAGCAAGACCTGATTATGATATAAGAGCTGATATTTGGAGCTTAGGAATTACGCTTGTAAGTTTATGAATTTGTAATAGAGTTGCATGACATTATTCCCTTGTGTGACTTCTAGTGAAAATGGAGTCTTATTTTTTTTACCGGATAAGATTTCTCGTTAGCGTTCCTATTTCAATTACAAGTACTATAACGTTTTGATAAAGATTACAAAGAATTCATTCTCTATTTGTCTTGTAAATCATTAGTTATGTTCAATTCTGTTTGTTTTTAAGAAAATGTATAAGATAAAACATGATAAGTCTGATTTCTAATGAAGAAACCTTTTAAGCTGATTAAAAAATTTTCAATGTAAATTTTTTCTTCGAGTACAGAATTTATTGATGAGAAAGAAAAACTTCTAAGGCTACCGATGTTAGTCTTGCAAGATGTCTAACATATTAATTTTTACCGTAATTATAGTAGAATGGAAATATTTCAGCTGGCGAGAGAACTGCCGTCACTGATATTCTTCGTTTAAGACTCTCAATGAGGTGTTTGTAAGATTATCAAAAGTTGTTTTCGAGCACAAATCGATTTCTTGGCATAAAAAGTCATGTTTTTGTGGAATGTAACAACTACACGAACGAATATTTTCTTAGATTGAACATTTCAGGGGATTATAATAGTCATTAGATTTATCTCTAGGCAAAATTTTGTGATTTATTTTTCCAGAAAACATTTATATAAATCTACTTGTACCAGAAAGCTTTCTAGAGTTTGACTACTCTCAGACAAACTTTTTTTTCTAGATTCAAAAACTTCTAATTATAAGATCGAAAGATGCATTGCTTATTTTTATCTAGAATATTTTTCAATATAAAATTTAGATTGAGCTTGCAACAAATGCTTATCCATATTCAAATTGTCGATCTGATTTTGATGTTATGTCACGTATTGTAACTGAAGATTCTCCTCAACTACCTGCTCATCTTTTATTTTCTGATGATTTCCGATCTTTTGTTAATATGTGGTAAGAATACGAAGATTTTGCTTTTGTTTCCGATTTTTAAAACTTTTTTTTTATTTTCAGTTTAATTAAAAACTATAAGCAAAGACCTAAATATGTTGAATTAATGCTCCAACCATTCTTTGTCCAATCACGCGAACAACCAGTTGATCTTGCTGGCTGGTATAAAGATGTAACAACAGCGGCGATAAACAAGTCACGCCGGTGATCGAGTATATATGTGTGTGTGTGTGTGTGTGTGCGAGTGTACATCTGTTTTTTCCTTCACTGTGTCATTCACATATTTCTCTTTTTTCTTCTTTTTAAGTTCTAAAAATTTCTCTTTTTGTATCATCAGACACATTTAGCTTGTCTAGTGGGAGAATATTCTTATTTCCAGCGAGTATTACATGTTACTCGTTTTCTTTTCTTTTTGTTCGCGTTTTTCCTTTTCTTTTTTGTGTATCATGTACATGATTATGATTCAAAAGTGTTTTTATGAAGAAGAAAAAAAAAGAAACTCTACAAATACGTATATATATATATATATATATATATACGTACATAGATATTGTTAAAGAAGAATAATTTTCTTTGATTTGTTATAAGTAAAATATTAATCGAAGGACGATTGCGGGTAGCTGTTGAAGTGATTTCGCATGACTCGGAAATGAATATAATCAGACTGAAGTGATTCTTTTTGATACTTGGAAGTATTCGCGAAATCATTGGATGAAACTGATGTCGTAGAAGTATTAATAAAAACAAACGGTGCTAGCTCTTTGCAAAGTACAACATACATCGATTTTATTCTCCTATTATTAAAATAAAATGAGTGTAACTTGAAGAAAATTTCTAGTGTTTATCACAAACATATCATAATCAAAACGTTTTCTAGCTATTCGAAAGTAAATGATATTACTCTAATATTGAATTCAAGAAATTTTTGCTAGATATTATTCTTTGATTTTATCAATCAACGCTTTTTTTCTTCTTGAAATAAAATAAATCTAATTTGCTTGAATTCAAAATAGCATACCAATTTAATAGTAAATATTTAATTGAAAAGAACAAAACTAATGATTAATGTAAAGAAACCTCTGAAAAATTTTCTAGAGAATTTAGTTTTTGGACAAAAATGAGAAGGAGTCGAATTTTTATTCATTAAAAATGAAATAATTAACAATGAAGTAGCATGATGCCGCTCTCAACAACCGTTAGAATTGATCATTAATGTCTATTATTTTTATTCTTAAACGAAAATTTTCGAATATTTTTTTGTCTGCAAAATATTTTTTCATTGAATGCAATACAAATTTGTGTGTGTGTGTTTCACCGGCAGCATCAAGCCACTCTACTTTCTCGTTGTCATCGTTTCAAGTGAGTAACTTGTTCATGTAAGTGTTGCTTTTTAATGTTTTAAAAACGAAGAGAAAAAAAGAAAATTTGTTTTGTTTGAATTGTGAAGAAAAAATGATGAAAGGAAAACGAATGAATGATAATTAAATAAGCAAGGTTTTCTTAAGCCTATGCTTTTAATGTAGACTAAAAATTAAGCCGGAAAAGAACTTGTATAGATTTTTTTCTTGTTTGAATTTTCATAAATAAAGCAGAAAAAAGAAAAGTGTGTCCCAATTGGTTTCTGATTTTGTTCATTGTCCATGAAAGCACAACGCAATCGTCAACTCTTACATTTCAGTAATAGAAAAAAAAGAAGTAAAAAACAGTCTATAGAAAAGAAATGCGTTTCTTTTGACAACGCGAGGATCAACAACAACAAAATCAGCTATAGTTGCAGTCATCGTCATCGGACATCGGTAAAAAAAATCAGTTGACAACGCAAATGCATACATGCTCACAGGTAACATTACAACAACAATAAAAAAAAGAGGGATAGAGAGAGAGAGAGAGAGAGAGCGAGAGCAAAAGGGAGAGAGAAATTCTTTACACCTTGTCTAAGATTTCTCTTTGTCACTCAAATTCACTTCGCTCGATAGTGTGTACGTGTGTGGGTGTGGGTGCATCGAACAAACACATATAGTGTCCAACACACACGTAGGTAAAATATAGCGACTCTCATTTTATGTTTTAAAAATAAATAAAAATTTTCTCTTCGCAGTCAATTAGTCGACAACCGGTGTACGTTAACAAATGGACTATATGGGATCTACCGCCACGGCTCAATATTCACATATGGGTCGTCGTCCTCAACAAGGTAATCTTCTGCCGTCCATAGGCACATTTGATTATCGAACATCATCGGCTCCACCTTATTCTGGTTTATTAACCCGGTCACTATCACTTCCATGGCGTCCAGGAACGTTCTATCGATCAGCTCGTGTTGAGCCAACACAAGCATTATCGTCATCTACTATGCAGCCAATGAGTTCATCGAATTATCTTAATAATATTGATAATGTCAAAGTACCACCAATATTTCCATCAGCACGGCAAGCACTTTATACACGTTATACACCAAAAGATTGGTATAATGCTCAGATGACCAACTATTTAGCTTCGGATAAAATTCGTTCGGCTGCTGAACGTTTACGTTCCGATGCTATACGTTTAGCACGAGAAAAAGATGAACAATCATTTAAAAATAATTCAGAAGCATCGAAACGTTTAGGTGAACGTATAAATGATATTGAATATTGGAAAGGTGAATTAGAAAAAACAAAAGATAAAATGAAACGTAAAATTGAGGATGTTGAATCGAAACGACGTGAAGTTGAAAGATTGTTAGCTGAATCGGAAAAACCATTACGTATTGCACAAGAGAATTTATATGAACGAGAAAAACGACAAGGTCTAAAATGATTAAATTGGTTTTTTTTTCTTTCAATTAAATTTCTTTTAGGTATCGATCTTGTACATGATAATGTCGAACGAGAACTTATTCGAGTAAGTCTAATTATTCATAGAAACGAAGAAAATTCTATTTTTTCCATCATAGGAAGTTGATACAATTAAATTATGTCAACAAAAACTTCGACAAATGCTCGAACGTCTTAATACACAAAATGCGTATGATATTTTTCCTACGGAATTTTTCTAGAAAAATCTTAATTCTATGTTTTAGTCTTAATCGTGCTTCTTTACATGAATTAGAACGTGATGCACAAGATAAATTTCGTGCTCGAGTACTTGATTCAGCTGCTCACAATATCAAAACAACATCGCGTGGAATTAACTTCTACGAAGGCATTGAAAATGTTGATAATACGTATGTTTATCATTATAGTTCTTACATTAGCAGTAAAGCAAAATAGTACAATTCGTCCTTCAACTTGCCGCTTGTTTTTATTCCCATGAAAAATCATTACGAATTATTTAGTCTTTCGATAAATATCACATAACGACTAGAATCTAAGTTATGATGACACCATCATCAAGAGATTAGTATTAGTTTTAGTTTTGAATGCGCCGTTAAACGATTGTTAGAGATGTATGAATTAAACTGAAAGTAATTGAATATTCCATTTTGTAAATCATACCAAACGTGAAGCCCTTCAGGAACGAATAGCCAAATCAAATACACGCCGTCGATGAAATAAATACAAAAACACAATTATAAAGACGTTTTTTTTTTGTAATGAAATTCGAATAAGCTCTCAAATTTCCTTTTATCCTTTCATCCTGTTTATACTATTTCTTCGACTCTAATATCTATGTTCCTATCAATATTTAGAGTATCAGTGCCTGAAACCTGGACACGATATACCGAAGAAAATATTCGTCGAGCTCTTAGTGAAATATCACAATCGGACGAATTACTCAATGCTAGTAATCAACTTATGGCACAAACTAATAATGATATGTGGTCTCAATGGAATCATGTTAACGTTTCATTGGAAAATCGTGTACAAGAAAGTCAAGTGGCTAAAAATAAAATACAAGCTCATCTTGAAAAAGTAGAATTCGAACAAAGAAAACAAAAATCTTCTATTTATTTACTTATTTATTTTTATATAGATTCTTCAAGAAATCTTTGATGTTGAACAAAATATTGAATTTTTGAAGAAGACTATTGCTGATAAAGAAGCCTTCTTACAAGTTGCTCAAACACGTCTTGAAACACGTACTAGACGACCAAACGTTGAAGCATGCCGAGATCCTGCTATGCATAGGTCAATTGAATTAATACTTTATTTTTCTTTCCCCAAACCATACAGCATTTTGTTTCCGTTTAGATTAATTCAAGAAGTACATGATTTACATGCTGCTATTGCTGATCTTCACGGTAAATTACGACAAGAAGAAAATGCTGTACAACATTTATTACGAACAAAATCAACATTAGAACAAGATTTAGCAATTAAAAATAATTCATTATTTATTGATTTTGATAAAGTTATGGGTATTCGACGTACATTTACAATAAATGCACCGGAAAAAAGTGCAGTTACCTCTGTTACATTTTCTCATCCTCGTGGATTAATAACTGCTTGAAGAACAGTAAATTAATTTCTTTTACATTAGAATTAGAAATCAACTTAAACAATGCATGTTTTCCTTTTGTTCTTTTTTTAGTACAAACGTCTTTCACATTTGAGAAATTAATCGGCGATATCAATCGGTTTCTTTTTCATAGAAATAAATCAAGGACTATATATAATTTTTTTTTCTTTCTTTTTTTTTCTTCTTTTCGTCTTCTATGCTGTATTATTCTTCTTTTAGAATCACACATATGCATTCTTTTTTCTTATACACATGCACTAATGCATTTTTTTTTCTATTTTTCAATAACAAAGAAAAGAAAATAACACTTTGTTGCTGTTCAGACGGATGTCACAAAAAAAAAACGAATTTGTTGATTTAATCAAGGTCAAGTTTATTATGAAATAATGCAAACTTTTATTGAAGATACATAGTTACCTAGTCGTTTTAGTAGAATATAATATCAGACAACGGAAGAAATAATACGCAAATATAAATAAAAGAAAATACTTGAATATTTACATTCAAAATGAGATTTTAGCACGAAAATTTTCTAGAAAGAATGTTGAAATAATAGTTCGAATCGAATCAATCGGAATGCATGAGAATTTCTAGTGTGGCATATTGAAATGATACCACTAAAGCTATGTGGCACCAAACTTTTTCCTTGAATCACAACCAAAATTTTAAAAAAAAAATTTCCATGAAGAAATTTCTATTTATTATTTATACTATTTTTAAATTACACAAAAAAAACAGGCAAATCGATTCACATTAGCGGCTAAGAAATTTGTTTTTTTATATTCATTTGAACATCTATTGCTACTAAACATAAAAACTAACGGAAAATGCAGTTATTGAATTATTAAATATGAGCCATAAGTTTTATTTTTTGTCGCCATCTCGTTTGATAAAATATTGTCAATGGAATGTTTAATTAATGACGACGAATTTGTTTCCATTGAGATTTCATAATCCGTTGATAACTTTATAGTTTGTTCTAACAAAAATTGATTATAATGTTGTAATGTACACAGTAAATTTGCTTGATGATTCCTTCAAACATATTTTTTACTGAGAAGAAAACAAATTAGAAATCATAAGATAATTTACCGAACAGTTAATAATCCTTCATTATCATTTGATTGGCAAATATTTATTTTCTGTGAAGTGAAAAAGAGAAGTTCGAACATTTCATTTTTTCTCTCTCAAAATCTTACTTTCGATTTTCGTCCATGAATTGATCCTGGCCGAATAGAACCAGTTTCATAAAATCTTGTTAAAATTTTCGAAACACATCCGTGGGAAACCAGTAATTTTCGTGATATATCACATGGACGAATACCATTCAACGCTAATTCGACAATCTCTCGACGCACATGATCAGGTAACGGACGACCATTAACGAATACTCCACCAAGTTGATTAACGCCTGCTTGTCCTTAACATGTCAGTATCATAAATTAATCAAAGATGAGCGAATCAAAATATCAACTCACCAATACCTGGTACATATAACTTACTTTTCATTGTTACGAATGATATCATTCAACAATTGGCACTTTGCTTGAAAGAAGAAAAAAAATGTTCTCATTGGTTTGTCGCATTGATTTTTTATTGGACAAAATAGAAAAACAGGGAGAAGGGTAGTAAACGTGAATTTCTCACACACTGAACAAAGTGTAATATTATTTGTAATAAATCAGATTAATAAAACGAGAAAAGTGTTGAACTATTTTTTAAAACAAGTGCGATTCTCAAACAGAATTGTTTTCTTTTTCGACGGAGCTGACAAAATCAGCATCGGCATTTCATTTAGAAATAATTATGTGAAATTAATACTCAACTATGTCTTACAATTCGACAAGTTAAAACTTACGAAGTACGATAAACGTTACTTAAAATCTGTATGTAATTACTTTGTATGGTAACAGATGTTCGGCCGGTTAAGATTATGCTTCTTTTACAGTAATAGATTTTTATTCGTTGTGTTGTATCGTTTCATTTGTGCAACAGTGGTCTCTATGTATTATTATTCGTCACATCAAACATCGTCTCACATCGGTGATCATCATTAGTGTTGTTGCTTTCTTTTCGTCTACCGATAATAATTTGTCATCGATAGCTATGGCATGAAAGGGAGAAGTGCCGCCAATATTATTGTTCACGTTTTCTTATCGTAAATATCGATATTATACGATTAGAACTGTCGGTTTTAATAAGTTAATCGATGGAAAAATATCAAGTAAAATGTTCTATCAGAAATCGATTCACTCTTTGCTTCAGAATCTATTTTACAATTACCACCAATCTCGATTTGACATTTGAATAGTTGAACCAAAGTTAATGGATGTTAAGCTTGATTGCACATTACGGTGACCGTCTTTACAAGAGAAAGAAAAAAAAGCAGAATATTCCGTACTCATTAGTTCGATGATGATGATACGTGCCATTAAGCACCTTTCTTTTAATAGCGGCATGTGTGAAACAAGCAATTGTATTAGCCAGAGAGAAGATGCCGAGAAAAAGGTGAACATCGAGTGACTTTGGAAATTCAGTATAGTATCTTGTAGGTTGGTAATCGTGATGAGATTTTGATCAGCTATCATTTCGTTTAACAATTATTTTACGATACGACCTGCTCTCTTCTTGTCAATCGAAGGAAGAAAGAGATTTTAATTCTAGGGCAGATTCAACATTTTTTCATAAGACTAAAATTCTGGAAACTTGAGAGCGCTTGTGTTTATTGAATTGAAAACATTGCAAGAAAACATAAATATTTCGCTTGAATCCGGTTTAAACAGGTAAAAAGTTATAGAGTTTAGTTTTTGTTCATTCTTTTTAGTCTATGATGGGCAAGAACCGCTTGTATCGCATTGTATTGTCATTGAATTAAAACGAAGACTGTGTGGACATGATTTCTCTTCACATACGCCACCATTTCTACACAGACTCGATAGACCTATATTGAACAGTTTCAATAATATCTACCGGTTAATTCGCAATTAGGACCAGACAAATCGACAAATGAAAATCATTCATTTTTATTTTGTTGATCTGTATTTTTAATTTTTTTTTCTACCACTTAAACACCAACGTTGTGTTTCAATTCCATTATTAGCTGTTGGCACAGGAGAGGATTACAGACACCACCATTAATACATGTTATTTTTCGATAAAGTTCTTGACCTAAAAATGTGATACAAAAACAAAATATGTATCATACCAATCGATATTTCACATCGGAAACCTGTAAAATCAGTTCCTGCATTATTAGTACCTAGATCATTAACATAGCCAATGGCTTATGTCGTAGTAGTCAAAGTTTTAGTTGTTACAATAGCGTTAGAACAGAGTCCTTGACTAATATAATTATATGTGCCATTTCACAAACATAAAACAAACATGTGAACGATAATGCTTCAATGAAAATTCCATTCGGGCTACCAAAACCACTTTCACAAATTCCTCGATATTTTCAATAGAATTATCGAAGGTTAAGTTTTGACAAAAAAATGTTTCTTATGACAACGAGCATTTTTATGTCCTTGGCCATCGGGACAAGTACAAATAACATCATTCGACTGTATTAATTCTGTGCAACTATAATTAGGCGGTGTACAACCATCACCGAGTTCACAGTCACATTTAATTAGAGAAAAATAATAGAAGTAAAATTAAAATTAAAAACGTTTATCTTATGTTAATCTGCAAGAGAACCTTTTGCTATTGCTACAATTAAACTATCGAAGAAAGTTATGAAATATAGATCGTTAGAATGTTATTAATGGCAATATTCGTGTACAATCATTGAAGGAAATATTTGGATTTAATAAAAAGAAAAAAGAAAAAGGCAACTATTTTCCCGGCATGTTTAAACTCAGATTGAATATCTGTACGGTTAGCACGATTAAATATTTTCTTTGTTTTACATAAATTAGGCTACTTTGAATATGAAATTTTGCTAAGATGGAAATCGGAGAGCGAATATTTTTAATCACCCGAAAGTCAAAGTAAAAAAATGCTTTTTCTTTCATATCAGTCGTAAAAGAAGAATTTTAATTTACAATGTTCAATTTATAATATTTAGTTTTATAATACTTGTATATAATTTGAATTTCAAGAAATAGAAATAACTAGTTCTATGATATTTATAAAATTTCTCTTATGAAAATGAAATAGAGATCAACTTAAATCACAGTAAATTGAAAAATATTTTATAGAAACGAAATTATAATTTTATTTAAAAGTTAAAATAGAATAATATCTGTTGCAATGTAGAAAATGATATTAAATGAAAGAGATCGATTATATTAAGTATACAAGAAGTTAAAATCAAATCATAAATCAATGGTGAAATAGTCTGGGTATCAGACAAAAACTTGAAAAAGATTTTCTTTTGCTTTGAACGTGGCCGCAGATCACAACTCATATAACAGTCGAAATCTTGTGCATCAGTTTTTCAAACTAGCACATTAATTTTATATTTGTTTTTTTGTTTATCTTTTTTTTCATTGTGTGCTAGAAATGTAATGTAATGCAGAGCCCTGATGAGTGTTTAATATTTCAATAAATAACGTGAAACGCGTTGGCAAATTAAAATCTGCAAATCGTAAAATTCTTTTTTTGCACACATCACAATAAATTATTATTTGATTTTTCATCTGAATGTCGACAAAATAATCGATTGCTGAAAGGCAAACGTGGAATACAAGCAGATTGTATTTGTCTTTTCTTCAAGATAGATAGGTCAGTCTGTTTTCGATTGAGCCTGACACTGGCAAGGAGCTGTCAGAGCTCCAGAAAATGTTTAATTTATCTCAAGTGCAACGAAAAGTCCGTCACACTTAGGCTAAGGTACACATGTGGCACTTCAATCTACGTGGCACTCACATGCAGGACTTGAGATACGTAAAATGGCCCTTCTTTGTGTTTCGCTCACTGCTGAAACGGACGGGGGTGCATAAGACGTCAAATCGACCCATTGGTATTTTTCATGGCAAACCCCATTGCATTTTATATCAATGGAAAGAGCAAGTTGACACGAACATGTTGGTGTTAAATTTATGAGGTTTTGATCGAATTTCGAATGCTTAAAGATATAAACAAAATAACTCATTTTTTGATCAATGATTGAATAATTGATCGGTGTACAGCGGATTCAATTCCATAATAAATCATATAACAAAATGGCACTTAAATTATAAATTTGATAGCTCTTGAATAGGGCTTCAATTCTATACGTAAGTCGTTGATTGATTATTTAGTTCCATGAGAAAAAAATCCAATGCATCAAGAGGTACTATTAGTATATTTGCTATATTTATCATTCGCTCATATCTTTCAACAAAAATTTTAATTTAAAAATTGAAAGTACCAAAATTTTGGTCATACTGATTCGATAGCCCTTTTCAAAAGCTACGAAATCATACATATTTCAAAGTCGGAAAAATATGGTCACTAGTAAAATTCCGAAGCGCACTCTCCTCGTAGTACGATTTTGACTAGTATTTAGCCACTTTTTTTGCTGCAAAATGGAAGCCTAAGCTAAAACCAATATAATATTCGATATCAGTATAAAAAAACAGAGTCGATTCGTATATGTTTCAAACATGCTTGAGGCATTTGGTTTTCGTCGAATAATTTATGAAGTTCAATGGGGTTTGCCATGAAAAATACCAATGGGCAGATTTGACGTCTTATGCGTCCCCGTCCTTTCGGGCATGTACTCAGTGACAAAGCATAGCCGAACTTGAGCTATATCATGGCAGTAGTCTTATAGATGTCTGGGCGAATGACCTTTCGTTGCGTATCGATGTTCGATCGAGACTGTCGCTCAGCAGAACAAAAACGCACCGTTTTTATTGGTGCCGTTGTTGATGAGCAAAATCAGAAAGGCAACCGATATTCAGTAGTATGCAGTAACAGTGCTGATGAACGAGAATGAGGATGGTACGTTTAATTTAATTTCAATTCAACTCACAATCAGCGTTCAACTTTCTGCGCAAATTAAGTTGGTCAACCAATTTCAGACATGACTTTTGACTTTTCCGCTCGAGCTATAGTTCTTAATATGCTTTTCAGCTTTTTCAATCGAGTTGAGGTTTCAGAGGAGACTTTTGACTTATCTGGTTGAAAAATTCATAAGTCACAATTGAACTCCATATTGATCGAGAAATTTGAAACTTATCCAGTTAACCCAACTCGATGGAGGACGTAAAAATCTCACAGTAACCCATTCAGAACGAGAAACCCTAAAAAGCGTATTTCGATCGAGGAAGTCGTAAGGCATCCCAATCCAAGTAGGATATATATCAGAAATATCGGATGACAAAAATTATCTTTTTAAAAATTGAAAGATGATTTCAAGTTGAATTCAAAACCAGAAGCCAGGTCTATCTCAGCCTGTACAGTAGAAGGAGTTTTCTTACCAAAGCTACGCATGTCAGATGTGCAGTCGCCTAGACTAGAGCAGCAGAACATGCGATTCACAAGCGAGCATTTACCGCGATAAGGTAGAACAGCTCATGTAGATATGTGGGTGTCTACATCTTTTGCTTTAACAGTGAAACACGAAGAGTAACTTTGAGTCTCTCGTACCTTAGTAGGGTTTGGGAATTCGCTTTGTATAAACTCAACTACGTTGATCTAAAGAGTTATAATATAAAACCGAAAGTGATGTGTGAACATCGAACATTTTCTAATGAAACAGTCAGTTTCGTGAGAGAGACGCGTGCTGTCACCATATGACATTCCTAAAGGTTTTATTATTATTTTAGCCTTTGTGATGGAAGAAAAGAAGCACATTACGTCAATAGTCGAAAAACACCAGCCAAGTATATTATATTGACTTCAAACTATGTAGGATAGATTTAACTGCACGAGCTCTGATGATGACGAAAATAATTCGCTATAGAGTGGACGTGGGAGGCTACGCTGAGAAATAGAATCAACATGGAAAAATCATACTGTGCTTGAGCTTTGCTTTGTATCTGAAAAGCGCTCAAACGCGAATCAACGTCAAACAGTCAGATTCGACACAAACCTAGATGCGTTTAGCTCAGGACGAAAAATATGGAGTCCGTATACTGACGTATTTTTTCGCATGCGATCATATTTAGGCGTTTTACATCGCTTAGTTTTAGGATCGTATATCTCGGTAATCGTATACGGAGAAATACGATCGTATATGAGCAAATATGGAGTAAAACGGAGGTTGTATGCGATCTCCGTCTACGCTGACAGCAAACGAGCGTTTATTTGTTCGTAAACGATCGCATTTCTCCGTATACGGAGAAATACGATCGTAATACTCAGCTATGTAAAACGCCGTATTTCTCCATTTACGGTCGTTTACTGCCGTCCCTGTTTGACTTTTGAGAACTCTAGTTACGTCAGGATGTATTCAGACATTAAACGCGTCTCGTTTAGGACGCAAGCAAAAGCAACCAATGAACGACCGCATTTCGTTTTAAACAGATGCATTCAGCAATTTGAATGCGTTTAGATGCGTTCGACTGGAACAAAAGCCGCATTTAGACGCACTCTATCTGCGTTTGGTGTCTACATTGGTAGCCACTGTGCATTATGTTGCCTATTTTTCAAGAACAGAGCGAGGATGCTGCTACATATCTCTAACACCCTATTAACGGATAGGTTTGATTATACACGAATTTTCGTAATCGCTACGCGGCATAGCAATACATGTGAGTGAGGGGTGTGCGTGACCTGTAAAACTACCGAGAGAGTCATTGAGACACGGGGATAACAACAACATGCACGCACGTCGCATGACCAAGGAGGCAACTGTTCGCCTGTCAAATTCGTTCTTATGTTCGTATTCGCTATAAAGCCAAGAGAACGGTCTTGCAACGTGACCAAATATTAATTCGAAAATTATTTTACTCGCCTGAGCTCAGTCCTATTGTTTCTTATTGGACGTTGTATAAAATGTATTCGCTGCGGTGATGCTGTACTCCAGGAAAATTCTTTCTTTTCCTTCTTTTTTTTGAAAACATTCCTTCTCAAAATGCTTCTTCTTGATGCCCTCTGCTGCGGCCCCTGAATTATTATATTTATAATAGAAGAAATACAATTAAGCAGTTAGAAATTAGCTCACCTGGTTGCAATGAGTGTAAACATGTATTTTTCTGTAGAGGCATTTAGTTCAAGTGTAAATTAGGTTTTTTCAAATGTTTAATTGTTGTTTCTATTATTCAAGCAAGTATAATTGAATCAGGAAGTTTGTTCTCTGCTTATCTTCTTGAATTAAATGTCATACGTCCTTCGTAAATAAAATCTCTTTATTTTAATCGTTCTGCAGAAAGAAAGAAAGAAAGACGTTTTTCTATAATTTTATTCAACACCACAGAAAAACATTCTAGCTGGCTGAGAGAAAACTTTCGTCGACAATTTCTCATTTTTTTCAGATCTCAAACTTCATAGTAGTCAGCATGCATCACAGTACACTTTGTTGTATCCTATATCTTCTTGTTTTACAAGTGAAGTTAATACTATTATTAATATGATAATAAAATAATGTTAATCGTATTTTCGTTTGTAGCAAACAATGAGTGCTGCATCATTCGTTCCGTTTTTAAGAACTTCCGATCTCAAATCAATAAAATCATTTGCAATTAGACCTCTACGGACTCCAGTTATGAGCCGATCAGTATTAACGTCGTTCATTGACGATACAGACTTGATGGAACATGAGACAGAGGGCATCAATCTCAGCGATTACGATCAACTAATGAAATTCAAAACACGACCTTTAATTATGACACTATTAAATCAGCGACGTTGGATGAATTCGAAGAGAAGAGGACCACTTCTTGGATAAGCTGTAAATTGAATAGAACTATGCTGCGATATTGAGATATGACAAAAGCCGTCATCATGTAATCGATGTATCTTCTTTCTTTTTGCTCGATATCGCTGGCAGCAATGAGTAAATCGACTTTCAGACCATAAAATTTTAAAAAAAAGATGAAATAATAACCATTTTTTTGTCTGGTTTGATTAAACCTTGCCCAAAATGACAAGTTTTATTCAGTTTTACTGTTGAATAACTAACATTCATAATCGACCAAATAGATTATGAATCAAAACTCACGTGTACAAACAAGAAGGAGCGATTGAACCGACACTGACAGTGTTATACGAGTGATATCGTACTTTGAAATCAACAAAAATAAGTACTTAGTTGTACCAGTATTTATTTTCTAAACACAAATGAATCTATTTGCTTATAAATGCTGGTAAATGTTATTGTCTATTATATAAAACAAAGAATACGGCAAAAAACTTGAAGCAAAAGAGATCGTCATGCTTTCGATCGATTAACCATATATTGATGTAGTCGACTTTGAAACTAAAGGACAAGGTAAAGCGCTGTTTTTTCAAATAAAAAATATGCAGATCATTAAACTGTAGTGCGGAATATTTCACATGTTATAATCGATTACTCATTTTAATTCTTTCAAATACATAGAAATATTAACAGTTGAAAATACGTTCAATAGATTACATTATCGTCTAACTCAGGCGTATTTACGTTTTTAACCGAATGAAGAACGTGGAGAATGTCACGCATCTCATCTTAAGTATCAGTTTCCACTCGAATAATCCCTAGTAAGACCTATCAGATGATACAGTGTTGCTGTTCATCGAGTGGCAAAGTAACTTTGTATTCATGTTTACGAACATTAGTTGACATGATGATTCATTTCATTCATTCAGCCACACAGAAATTAAGAAAATCAGAAGATTTACTTTGATACACTTGTAGGATATTTGCTTGAATTAGAGAAATCATCTGATGGGACGTATTCTCAAAAAATTTCATTCTTATGCTAATAATTCATTAGTTAAACGAATGATGTTTTTTGATGTATAAGCGTGCGTGAATTTCTTGAGCTTCAACTAAAATTCGTTACCTAAAACATCATTGTCGTGAAACAAAGGAGAAATCTTGATAAATATACAGAAGTAAATAGGCTGGCATCTAACACTTCGTAAATGATAAGATTTCTCATTTAGAATAAGGGACGTAATCCGATGAGGGCTAAAGGAGGGGTCATTTCCCTCTAGGGAAAATTTTAGCCCCTCATTGCCATGATCTATTAATTAATCATTATGAGAGTAAAATATTCGATGCCCTCTTCCAATCCAATATGAAAAAGGAGATACAATATTCATGTATTCTTTGAACTTTTCGATACTGATAACAGTACACACACCAATTAGTGTACAACCGGAATAGCTCATATCTTGCAGAAGTTTATAGCGAAAAGAATAATTAGTACTTTTCTACTATCATGTTCAGCATGGGAATACTTGTTTTTCAAAATGAAATTAATTAAAGCACGCTTAAGCAATAAAATGACCTTTGTATTTTGTTGATTGAACGTGATTTTCAAATGGATACGAATAAGTGATTGATCGATTTTCGATTAATGATAAAATCATGCTACGTTCATTAGATTTGTTTCAATGTTTGACCTGGTTTGGAATATTTGAACTTAATTATTGTTTCTGCATTGTTCAATGTCTGAAAACTGTGAACCAAGGGGGGGGGGGGGGGGGGGGGGGGGGGGGGGGGGGGGGGGGGGGGGGGGGGGGGGGNTAAAACAAAATCGCGGAAGTATTTGGTACTCAAGCTAGCTGTTGTGGGCACGCCCTTATTTGTATTTTACACTAATTTATTCTCGTGCGACATTCGAAAGTAATTGCATGCATGTTTATTCTCCTATTTTCTGCTTGAAAAAAGCGATTTATTTTTACATAGGATAGAAAATATTTTTCATGATTCATCTTATGTCAGTAGCTCCTCTCAAAATTTTCGGAAACGCTTCATTGTAGAGAACGTTTTTCTTTCATATGAAAGAGCTTGTCAAGATGCAGCGTGTGGCTGAATGTGAGTTTTGAAATAAATATTGCCAGTTATATACAAACAAGTATCTTTGTACTGGGTGGAGTCACTCTACAAGTCTTTCCAAGACATACAATTTTCGAGCCTCTATATTGGGTTCAAAGAATATATTATAAAAACAGCAGAAAATTGTTGTCACGTCCTGCATTTGGCATGCTCATATAAATAAAACATAATCTAGTCTATGGCGTAATTATTCACAGGGAATCACGCGTTAGTAAATGAACGTTTATTTGTCATGATCAACTGAGTAGCTCATTACAACATGATGACCTATATCGACTATTACGGATTTCGTTTACGACTGTATCTTTTCGACCTGGTGATATAAGTGTATTTATATGATCATAAGTCTCTTCACTAGATCCTTACTGTGTCCTGAAAATGTGATATGTCCCTCAAATTCTTCTGGCTACTATTGATTTTCCAGTAGTGTCAAACGTGAAATTTGAATTCAGTTGAAAATAGAAAATTTCAACTTTCAACTCATAGAGATATTTGTTGAAAAAACTTCATTGCAAAATTGATGGTATCCGAAGCGAAATAATGCATTGTAATATTTTCTTAAAAGTTCTTGGGATAGTTCTGTGCTGTACGAGACTCAAAAACGTCAAGTTGATTGTAGGCACCTATTGGGGACGCCACTCTTAGCTAGAGGTATTATTGTCCTGTTAATTCAAAATAAATAGTTTGGATTTAATTTAATTCTTCTAGTTCTTTATCATATTTCATTCCGGCCAGAAAAACAAGAAAAAACATGCATGCAATTACTTTCGAATGTCGCACGAGAATAAATTAGTGTAAAATACAAATAAGGGCGTGCCCACAACAGCTAGCTTGAGTACCAAATACTTCCGCGATTTTGTTTTAAACAGTCCACTTGCGTTGTAACCATTTCTAGTAGTTTATTTTAGAACACTACTATTTTATTAAAATAAAAGCTCCCAGATTAAATTAACAAGTAAAATACGAGGAAAAATTTTAAATGTTGTTAGATTAGGACTTCTCAATCTTGATAAACCATCATGAAACTTTCTAAAAAACATAAGATTTCGCTACTCTGGTGCTAGATTCCGTATATTAAACATTCAAACTACTCTGCTTCAGTAGAGAAATGGTTTCCTAGAATCGATGTACAGAAACACTCAACAGTTTGCCATCTATTGGTAATGCTATTCTGGCTACTTCAGCATGCATGTTTACCAATTTCGTTGCCGATCAATAGTGACCAATATGAGTAATCAAGCAGAAAGAAATTACATCATATAAAGTTTTACATGACGAGCAGAAAAGCAGAAGGAGGATATATATAATAGAAGTGAATTAATTCCAATTCTAGACTTGAAATTGGTTAGAATTGGCCTGATATTGTTTGGAGAACCAGCAAGGGTGGAATGCTGAATTTGATTCTTTTACCAAGAGACGATGTTTTTGGATGAATAATAACTTTTTATAACGTTTTGCCAAAGGATTTCGGGATCCAGATATCGGAATCTGTAATAGATTTCTAAAAGTTCTGTAGTTCATTTCTTTGTTAACTGAACTGCAACACAAAGATCTCTTATAAAACTTTATAAAACAGAATATATTCTTCCGAACAACTTATTTAGTAAAAGGATGAAGACGTAATTTTGAGAAACTGCTGAAGTACTCGAATTTCTGGACATCGAAAGCCTTCGGTAAAACTCTATAGAAATTCATTATTTATTCCAAAATGTTGCCTTTGGTGAAAGAGTAAAATCTAGAGTTTCATCATTATTGGCTTACCTAGTAACTTGTAAAGTGGCTGCCTGTGTAAGAGTAACTTCGAGTAATTTCAAACCAATTCTATCCAGTTCCGAAAATTTGAATTGAACAAAATTGTAATTGGTATACTCCTATTATATAAATATAAATGTCTATCATTCATTGTTCTTGAAGGCATATTCAATACAAGCAGAATGGTGTGGGTGTGGGTGAATGTGAACGTCAGTGACCAGAAGAGCTGTACACACATTCATTCGCATAGTTTATACATAGAAGGACAGCAAAGGATTCATATATGTTTATACAACTTCAATTTCTCCTATTGAGAAGAGCAATATATGAAGACTTTCTTCTTGGAATATATACATTTCTCTGAAAAAAACAAATTTTTCTCTACCTGAATAGTACAGATGCTTCTTTTTGAAGAGAATTACATACGTATATTCCGAGAAGAAAGTCTTCGTCCATTGCTCCCCTCATTAGGAGAAATCGAATTTATACAAACATAATTATATGTTTTTCTTTTGTTTTATGAATAAGCGCTGTGGATTGGTGCATGTGCTAATGTAGTTGCAGGTATGAGGTTAGGCCTTCGTATTGCTGACACACATAACCACTCGTACTTCTATCTGTAAATCCACACTCAACAGCATGACGCACATCTGTATCTTTGTTCTTCGTATTATATATCAATTCTAGTAGAAATAGTTAATTTTGAAGAAAAATGTATAGGATGTGTGGTGTGGGTATGTTTGTATCTAGCAACGATGATCGTGTTTTCATCTCTGCTGAAGAACTTATCATATGGCTTTGTTTTTAACGTAACCGTTCACAAGAATCCATGCCAATCACAGACGAGTTATTTTTCTTGATGACATTGCATTGAAATTCATTATCTGTTATATCTATATAGTTATTATCGAAATTTACTACGAGGATTTTTCAACAGTATCCACGTTCCAGGAATAAGAAATGTAAGCATTTCGAGCAAGTCAAATGATCTTCATAGTTCAAAGAACACTATCACTGGACATCATGGAATTTGACCAACTTTAAGAATTCAAGGGAATCTAGAGAATGGAGGAAAATCAAGGTAAACGGAGGAACTCATGTAAGCTGATTCTTAATTCAGTTTCCATGGTAACTCTGAAAACACATATGATCTCATTGTTAGTGTCGCGTGTAGCTCATACATCCTTCATCCAAATGTGGCTGTCACGAGAGATTGTTAGACACTTCGGTTCCATTTTGATGCTACTGGAAATCATCATCTCGGTACTATCGACCCATCACTGTTGAGTAAGTATTTCACGCAGAGCTCTCTTGATTTCCTGTGCTTGAAATCGATGTAAAAGCATATATCACAACTCAGGACGTCACACATAGCCTCACCTAACAAAATTGACGCTTCATGATATACTCATTATTTCCTATAACTGATTCAATCCCAAGATATTTCCTCGCATCCTCCCATATACATTACATTCTGCAAATCTTAATTGGAAATAGCTATTTCACTAATCAATATGAATTGACGATTCCTCGATCGTAGGTATATCTCACATATAGTACGTATGATAAAATCACGTGCAAAATGTAAATGAGACAACATTACATAGTTGTATACACCTGGCAGATACGTCTAGAGTTGACGACGTAATAAGACGACAAGTTAATTATTTGAATATATTCCCATGTAGCTGGTCGTTGCATTATCTCTCTCTCTCTCTCTCTCTCTCTCTATATATATATATATATATATATATATATTGTGCTATGCCAAGATAGTTAAGTGAAGTGCAAATTAATTATTTTGAGATCTTCAATTGTTCTCTTTCTATTTGCCAAACAAGTATAATTGAATCAGAAATTGTGCTTGCTGTTGTTTTTTTGAATTAAATGCTGAGTGATCTCGAGAAATAAAATTTCTTTGATGCTATTTTTTCATATAAAAAGTGACATTTTTCTATAATAGTGCTTTTTTTACTTCATAGAAAATTGTCTTTAAGATGTAGAAAAGAATTTTTTCTCGTAGTTTCTCACTTTTATTTTGTAGATCTCAAACTTCAGAATCATTATCATGCAGTATATCATATTTTGTTGTGTCTTATATCTTCTTGTTTTACAAGTAAAGTAAATACGATTATTTATATGACTATAAAATTATATAAATCATTTTTAGCAAGCAATGAGTACTGCATCATTCGCTTCGTTCCTTCGAACTTCTGATCTCGAAGCAACAAAACCATATTCTGGCAGACATTTGCGGGCTCCACTTATGGGTCGATCACTACTATCATCGTTCGCTGATGATGCCTATTCTATTTCAAATGAGACCAATGATGTAGATGAATTAGCAAAATCCAACAGGCAGCGTCTACTTTTGGCATTATCAAATCAAAAAAGAATGGTAAATGCGAAGAAAAAAGGACCGCTTTTTGGGTAAACTGTAACTGGAATGGATCTATGGTGTGATACCGACATAAGAACAATTCATCATCATAAAATTAATATATTTACTTTCTGATTGTCTCGATATCACTATAAGCAGTAAATAAGTTAACTTTGACATAATAAAATAGCATTCATCAGTATGCCATTGAACTTTAAAGATTTTCTGAACAAATTGCTTATTTTATTAATCGATTACAAGTATCAGAATTTAGTACTCTTTCCAATACTCACATCTTGATAGTTAGTTTTGCTCTTGGCAATCGTCAACTAGATGGTATTCGAGTTTCACTCGACTACGAAATGCGGTGCGAAGCACACGAGCCGAATATTCGAAAGTAGTGAGAATAAGATTTTAAAAATAAATGATCCACTTTAATATTCATTAGAATCGATTATTTTTTTTAAATTTCCGTATACGAATTTTGAATAAAAATTTCGCATTCACTATTCTTAAATCGACCATTTTGAAATTCATCACTACAAGATCTTTCTGAAAATGTAGCAACCAGTTTTCTAACGATTTTTTTCATTGAACGATTAATTATTTTCATGAATCAGATGTAAAGCAATAGACTATTGGTTAACAACTATTGATGACGTCATTTTGATTAGCGCGAAACTATCAAACAATAAAACCTTTCAAAATCATCATTTTCGAATCATATTTTTAGGCGAACAAAACCTAGTATTGAAAATCGGAAAAAGATGTAACAAGTTCGATCTCAATACTTTCATATCTAGTTTGAATGGATTTTCTAGCATTTACGGTTCTTTAGATCATCGCGTCACTTAATAAGAACTTTTTATGCGTACTCAAGTTTGAAAGAAAGAAAAAAAAACTCGCGACGGACTACATAAATGCTGTGCTTCGCACCGCATTAAAAATCAAAATCTCTATAAACGACACAATGGCATGTTCCCAATTCCCACCCGAAGTTCAATGCTTTCTAAAACATGCTAGCGACATCTTTGATGTTACGAAATAGCTTATCACTGTTTATCGTTCGCAAAACAAAATCGCTGAGAGAAGACATTGGGAAATAAATACTGTGCTTGACAGCATCGTCGATTATCTGTGTATGGATCTGGAAAATTTAAGATCATGATGTAATCAAGCACAAGCAAGTGGAGTTAAACTAAATTAAACATCTGTAAAACGGAAATAACCAACTACTAAAACAAAAAACATTATGAAACCAATTTTGAACAGGATATCTTGACGCATTCTCCGCTTGTGAATCTAACACAGTGACTGTTTCCACTGTAAATTTATTTGTAGACCTTTTAAAAATTCATTCATAATTCCTATATTGAACGAGATAAAAGTTTCAAATCAATATTCTTAAATTTTGTAGGCATATGTTATCTTCTTTTTATCAACTGTTCGATAAATCAAATTGACCGAAAGACAGTGCACAACACATAAGTAAACAAGCTGTGAATTATAAAATGATTCTGAACAATTAGAACCCTATAAAATAAAATTAAGATGAAGATCTTGTTCGAATAAGATATCAATTATTTTTTATTTGCTAATATTTTTTCAAACTACAAATTACATAAAAATCTTTCATCACATTTGAAATCCTTTTACGACTATTTGTCGAACTGGTTGATCTGAATATATCACTAATATTTATTACATTAGCTAACATAGAAATAGCTGGTAGAATATGAAAAAGAAACGGTACAGATGAAGGTAAACTATTTTCATCATCAATAAATAATCTTTCGAGAATAATCGATGCTGAGCCTATAGCACACACACACAGAATGTTAATAACATTGTTTTAAATAAATCCATTTCTCGTTTGTTCAGCTGATTTCCATTGTTGTTTTGTGCATCTTGAATACGTTTGCCCGATTGTGGCACAATTCGAAAGGTTGCAAGATTACATGTCATTACAATAGTAACTGGTAGAATTATTACTATGAAAGTACCATATATTTCAAGTAATCTTTTAACATCATGAAGCCAACATACAGCGCCGTCGAAGAATAAATAAGGTAAACCAGCAAGTACGGCAAGAATCCAACATATGATAATGTTTCTTGATATCGAACGAGTCGATCAAAATATTTGTTTATGAAGATACTCAATTGATAATAAACGACAAAATGCAGCAAAACAAAGCGCATACATCACCCGACATGCACTCGTACGAACAAGAAACATTTTTACACAGCATGATTGCTGTGTATTTAAGGAATTACTTAAAGTAAAAATAATTGATATTAAGTTTTCACAAGAAAATAACATGCTTGCAAAACAAACATTCATTGTTAACCAACTAAATATATTTGATCGAAGAGTTTTTCGACTTGAAACAATTATTATTATTATCTATAAATTGGCTAGTAGAATAGTGATTATATAAATCGGTATGTCAATTATATCGGTAATGTTAATTTGTAGTTTTCCTATATAGTTCGACATATAATTTGAATTGTTTGTTTGAAAATTGAATTCGGTCTATTGAAAATATTTTGTGTATGCCTATAGAAGACTCCTGTGTCGAGATACAAATATATCCATCGGGGCACGATTTCATTCTTTACTCTAAATGAACTTCTTATTTCCTATTGGTGAATATCAACAGAAAAAAAAGGAAATAATAAAACAAAATAAAAATTGTACTATTTTATAAATGATTAAAAGATAAATACATTAGGGCATTTTAGACTCCGTTCTGTACTCACATTATCTATCATCTAACCACCTTTTTCTTTTAAACGGCGAAAAATTCTATTATATGTTGATCTCACAAACATGTTTAAATTTCGTTAGAGAAAACTAATTAATCAAAGTAGAGACACGATGTCGACATCTTTAGTTTTTCCTGTTCATGATGGTACGTCGGATTTCTCTCTCAAAGACATGCTAAGTATTAACGCGTTAAGTTCACTTGACTTCTATGCCATTTATAGAATATCTAAAAACTAATTTTCAGGTGAATATTTTAATCAATGAAAAAAGCGTCACTTTTGTTAATTAGCTTTGAATAAATTCAAATAATCTGTAGAGTTTATACTTAAAACAGTCAGAGGGTATCTATTGCTACGCGGCATGTGTAGATTTCTGAAAAAGTAAATTGTTGAAATTTCCTAACGAAATTCATTTGTGTAAATACACAGAAAAGAATTTGCACATTTTCTTTTTGCTTCATATGTAGATACACTGCTCATGTGGAATAGAGTCGCTTAGATGACACAAATCTAATCAGATTTTATTCTTGCTAACCATTAGAACTTTTTTTTGTCAGAATCCTAACCTACATTTCAAGCGATAATCAATAAATTAAAAGAATTCATCTTTCCCGATCATATTCAATATAGTATCAATAGCGATCAGAAACGGTAAAGATAGTATTTTATTTTTGATTAAAAATCGAAAAACTCTTAATGCATAATGAATTCTGGATTCTCCTGTTTCTTACAATAGGACCTAAAAAGCTATATTCGAATAGTAATCAGTATTTATAACGAGTACTCAAAACCAACCCAAGACTCCTTTAATGCTAACAGTAATCTAACTGTAGTTCACGGTACAGTGACACAGTCAGTACAAGTATTAGCTCGGTACACTGATATTCTTCTGAGAATAGGGTTTGTTGTGTTTCACTCGAATTCAAATGACTATTGATGGATCCATTTCTCTCGAAGAAAAGTTCGATAAAACAGTAGTACTACTTATACAAATAATTTCTTTCATAGGTTGCCTTGCTTTTGTTTTAGATCGTTTTGAATTTTATTGGAGATAAAGATGTTGATGAAAAGTTCTATGGTAAAATGTTAGCAAAACGTTTAGTTGCTCAATCGAGTACTTCTGAAGATTATAAACAACTGATGATCTCAAAGTTAAGAGTAAATACAACTATCATCATAAATCGATATTACCATTTTTTTTCTTTGGCCAGACAGCATACGGTTTTCCATTTACGAATGCTTCAAGATAATGATGTTAGTAAAAATTTAACTCGTGAATATCGAACGTATTGTAAAGAAAAAGATGCCGAAGATATGGGTAGGATATTTTATGAAATATTTGAAAAGAGTATAGCTTTTCTATTGTATTCTAGTTGGATTTTCCGTAATGGTGTTGAATTCAACGGTGTGGCCATTCTCAACTCCCTCAAATATCATTTTACCCATCGAAGTAATAATTATTTGTTGCTTTTCAAAAAATGAATGTTTCTTTTAGTGTTGAAGTCAAGAGTCGGTAGTTTCACAGGTTTTTATACTGACCGTCAAAGTGGTCGAAAATTAATATGGCTTCATTAATAGTCAAAAGAAACATGGGAAACACCTTTTAAGGAACCAAAATATAGATTCTGCTAAATTTTCGGAAAGGTTTGCTGATTTCAAAGGCGTCAATATATCAAATGGTTGCGTTACTATTATTTAATAAAGTATAGGATGGGACAGTAGAAGAACTAATTGATGAAATATTAATTCCACCGGAGATTTTATTTCAACTTATTGGTAGTTTATGAAGGAGTAAAATATTATTTTGTAAAGATATCGATAAAAATTATGAAAATAGTAATACTGAAATGAACTATCGAATGGAAGCCGCGGAAAACTTTACAAGGTTAAATCATTCGATTGTCAATTTTGATTGAGATTTTTGTTAGTTTTATTATGTAGTAACATGCTGCGAATGAGTATAAATGTACCATTAAAATCATTGAAAGAAAAAGGTTTAAATCTTTTACATGGATCTACTGATTTTATATAAATTAAAATAAATTCATCTATTCATATCTTCAACAATTTTTCCGTGTTTTTTCACGTTTGTATTTATAATAAATATAGATGTAGCTATACATTTAGGAGAATGTTCCATACTGTGCATCGTTGATAATACTGTAATCGTCTTGATCTGAAATTTGATTCTGTTCTTTTTCAAGGCGTTTTCTTTCGTCTTCATCACGTCGTTTATAGGTAAACCGAGCGAATAATATCAAGAAAATACAGACGATATTTACAATCAAAATAAGTATATTCATTAATTTATATCGATTGGGTGCAATAAATAATAGAACAAGACCAGTTACATTATACCATTGAACAAGAATCGAGGCAGATAATGATTCTGGTAAAGGAAACATTATTTCGGCAAGAGCTTCATACATCAATGTTGTTGGAGCGCCCGAAAATAATCCAGCAAATGCTGTTGATAAACCGATAGTAACAGCATTTGACGGAAGAATAGGTCTATTAAAGAAGGACGTACGAACAGACAATTCAAACCAAATAGTAGCGAATAAACAGATGACATATGACATCAATACAAGTGCTTTTAATGAATGTTGAAAACGATGTGTATCAGCGAGAAAACTTAAAAACAATCCACCAATGATTCCAGCGATCGAAGAGCCAAACGCAAACCAACCTAAAACACAAAAAAAAATATAATTGCTAATACAACATTCTCACATTATTAGAAGAAGACTGAACGACAGAGAATATCTGCAAAAGTATGAAAACAATTTGAAGAGTATGGTTCTTCGCTGCTAGAGGAAACATACGAAAAGTACTCTGACTATTTAGACCGAAAGATTAGGTACGAAATACGCGGATTTAAATCTTATTACCTGCTTGTTGTTCAGTATAATTTTCAGGTTTAAGAATAACATCATATAAACTTGTCCATGCACCAAATGTACCAGGAAGTAGGCCACCCGCTGTTAATATGAGAACAAATGACGGGTTTGTTAAACATAGCCAAATATCTTTCAGATATTTCTTCCATGAATTGCGATGTTCATGCATTGGATTTTGCATAAGTGATTCTGCAGCAGCAGATGGAGCACTTGGTGGATAAGAAGGAAAAAAGAGAAGACCAAGAATACAAGCTATAAATGCCAGACCCAAATGAACATAAAGTAGACGAGGGATATAGTCCGGCGACGAAACGATAAATGGACTAATTACAAAACCTATTGTTGAACCGAAATTATTAGCAAGTACAGCCACTGTTGTTGCACGTGTTCGTTCGTGAGGAGCAAACCATAGGCAAGAAAGTTGCGAAACAGGTGCCATCACCAATGGACCACAAGCTGCATTTAATATTTGGCCTAAATGTAAAAATGGTAAAGATATTGAACTGAAATTTGGACTTGATGGTTTTGTGATAACAATTGGAAGAATACGAACAAGTGCTGCTAGAAAATCAACGATTGAAAGCAATAGAATACAACGTCGAAGTCCATTATGTTTATTTAATAATATATAAGTCAACGGTAAACATGGAGTGAAAATAATCGGTCCCCAATTCAGAAGCAGATAAACAGTAGCTTCACTAATACCGTAATAAACTTCAGTACTTCTGGCTATTGGTGAAAATGTTAACCAGATAAGACATTGATTAAAAGCGAGAAATGAAAATATAAATAGAACATAGAATCGTTGTGTATATAATACATAGACTGGCTTTGTCTGAGTTGATGCTACAATAAGTAAAGATTCACTTGGCTCAGATATCATCGGAAAAATTTAGCAGCGATCTTTAACAAAAATAGATAAATGAACTGTCTTGCAATAGATTCTTCTGTCTTTCTTCAAAGAAAATATAATTATTTCTTTTATGTTTATTTTTTATTTGAAAACAACTATGTTATAAAAAAAAAGGAAGAATTTTAGAGGATATTAATACCAGACTGTTGGATACGCATTAGTTCAGCATAAACACCATTTTTCTTAGACATCAATTCAGTATGTGTACCCATCTGAAAAATAAAGTTTTCCTCTGGAAAATTCGTACATATATCATATTCTCACCTCGACTAGTTTTCCATGTAGCATAACACCAATTATATCTGCATTACGTATTGTACTCAGCCGATGAGCAATTATTAGTGTTGTACGACCTATTTGCAGACAGGAGAAATAAAGATCATCCAACGACATATCGATTTTCAGTAAATGCAGATTTGATAAGGGCCCACTTTAAAATGATCAAGATAGTTTTTTCACATTAGGAATCTTTTGGTGAATAAAAAATTCTCGATTTTTAGTTCGATTATGTTTTCTTTTGCTATAAAACTTATAAGTGAATTACCCTTTGCAACGTTATTAATTGCTGATTGAACTTGCTTTTCCGATTCAGCATCAAGTGCACTAGAACACAACAATTATTAATAATAGATCTTTTGTTGAATTACCTTGTAGCTAAAAATGAAAAAAATAAGAATACAGAGAATCTTTTTTAACTATAATTACCTTCATCGAGAATTAATATCGATGGATTCTTAAGTAAAGCTCGGGCACTTTAAATAGAAAATATTAAAAACTTTCAAAGGATCAAATGAGTTTTTACATGGCAATTCTTTGTCGTTGTCCACCTAAAAACAGTACGTGAACAAACGCGAGCTAATAAAATTAAAGAAAACAAACCGGAAACGGTCACACCACGTTCACCAACAACAGTTCGATATCCATCAGGAAATAATTGAATAAAATCATGTGCCATGGCTAGTTTAGCTGCTGCCATAACTTCGGCATCGGTTGCATCTGGTTTACCAAAACGAATATTTTCCATAATTGTTGTTGAAAATAAGATGGGCTCCTAAATAATTCGAAACGACACTCATGATAGAATTTAACTATAGAAATTCAAGAGCTCAGAATTAATATAACATAGTTTTTTCTTCCTGTGTGAGTTAATTTTCATAGGAATTTGCTTACTTGATTAATCATTCCAATAACGTTCGATCGAAGCCATGTTGCATTAAACTTACGAATATCTTTTCCATCAATAGTTATTTGACCATTGATTGGATCATAGAAACGCACAAGTAGCGAACATAATGTGGATTTACCTATACTAAACCATCATATGTATTATAAATATTCCTTTTTTTTCTGTTTCTTATTAACCTGATCCAGATGGACCTACCAAAGCAACAGTTTTACCACACGGAATTGTAAAATTAAAATTTTCTAATACCATCTAGACAAAAAATAATAATAATAAACTACATATTTTATTCGAATCTCTCAATGAGTTTAACCTGTTGCTCTCGTGTTGGATAAGAAAATCCAACATTCGAGAATTGAACTTGACCAAGCATAGAATGAAAAGGTATGCGAATACCTTGTTCCAGTGGAATAGAACTTGTTAATTTTTGATATTCATGTATTCTTGCGCCGGCTGACATTCCTCGAATAGCTTGTCCAATTAGAACTGAAATTTGTGTTAATGATCGTTGAATAGTTTGTGTTGCAACTAGAAATGCGATCAAATCACCAGCAGATAAACGTTGTTGAGAAACGAATTGACCACCAAGAGCAATCGTACTCAATACAATACCATTCATAACTAGATTATTAAGACCTTGAAATACACCTATGCCAATACCTAATCGTATATTAAGTTCGCAAGCTTTATTCACTTCATTTTGAAACATTCTAGAAAAAAAAACTGTATCCATGAAGAGAAACATCACTCAAATTATTTTACTCATGTTCTTTTGTTTCAGCACCGAACGCTCGAGTTGTTCGAATGTTTGATATAGCTTCATAGGCAATACCAGTCGATACGGATAATTGTGCTTGTGCTTGCCGTGAAAGTTTGCGTAGTACAGAACCGAATACTGTACCACCTGCAATAATACTCGGAATGGTAAGACCAGCTAGTGTAGCTAACGTTGGAGAAATACAATAGAGTGATACAGCTGAACCAACAATCTAGATTAACGAACAACATAGACAGTTTATTATTGAATACTTTTTCGTACTTGTGTTGATGCACGTAAACCTTGTGAAATCAGTAATTTAAAACTTGATTTAAACTCTTGAACATCGGATGTTAATCTTTAATTTAACAAAAAGAATAATATAATATTAGAAATCAACTAGTCATCTACCTATCCATTATTTCTCCTGTTTTTGTTCTGTCGAAAAATTCCATATCTAATTTTAGAACATTTTGAAAAAGATCTCGACGAATAGCAGCCGCCATACGTTCACCAGCTATGGATAGAAGAGTGATATATTCAAATGTAGCTATTGATTGATATATATATAATTGAAGAAGCCTAAACGTTGGTTTCGATAGCATTTCTTTAAAGTCTACGGATGAAGATGAAGATGTGAATAAACTCGATATTACATTGATAAGATTTCCCAGTTCAAGTGGTATAGCTACATTTAAATAGGCAACTACGAGAGCTGTCTAAAAAGAAATTGTTATATTTTATAGCTTAAAACTAATGGAAAAAGATTTTACGGCTGTTGCACATGCTATAACCCATATTTGTGGTCGTAAATAATGCCAGAAAAGTTTCCAATCAAATTTCTCTGATGATGATGATGATGCTACTTTTTTCCCTTCAACTTCACGTACAATCGATGATAGTTGATTAGAATCAAGTTTCGGGTTTTTCGAAGCATGCACTCGATAATGTTTCCATACTATTGTCAGTGCACTACCACCACTTGTTATACCGGCAAGTAATCGAAGACAAGATTTAGATTTGATACTAGAAGTTCCTACCGGTATTCGTCTAAAAAGACGAACGGCCAGCATCTAAAATTTAAAAAAATCATATTCACATAGTCCTTTTCATTTCACAGCGATTAATATTTATTAATTATTTTAACTATTTCATAAAAAAAATTTGTTATCAAAGCTAAAAACTGGTTGGTTTTAAACAATGATCCAATCGAAATATTGTCATATTGGTGTGCTGTAAATTTTCTTTGATTGGATTGAAAAATTTCTCCACCTTTTATTCTCATCATCTCTTCCAAGATTATTTTAAATTATTATTTCTAGGGAGTTTGTAAACATTTAGATAAAATTTCGCTCTATGGTAAAGAATTTCGTGATCTTGTTCATGAATTCAATGTATAAATTATATCGAAATCGATTCACCACAATTCAAAATCTATTTTAAGTATACAAGACCATGATAGTTGGAAAGAATTATAAAAAAAATGCAAATACACGTTGATATTGCTGAAGAGAAATTTACAACAGCACTTGCAAGGCTTGTTTGAGAGTTGTTTTCTATTAATATGTGGTTAGCGTTGACTATTATTTTTCTCATTCATTTAAATATGATACTAAATATCACTGAAGCAACCGGGATCCATGAAACTTCACCAACATTATCAGTCCACGACATGACATTAGATTTTTATTACTACGTTTTGTTGATCTGCAATGATTTAGTGAAGATACAGGTGGGGGTGGGCGAGAACCAAATATACATTTGATTCCATATGAAATGCATGCAATCCTTTATGTTCTTACAACGTGTGTTGAGAACTTCGTTTTCTTCTATAATTAATATTTTTCTGAATTCTTAGAATTCTGTAAGTTAAAGAAAACTTTCATACGCAAGATATTGCTGATTTTTATGCTTCCATCCTTGAACCTGCTCAAATTTATGTTTCCTCCATTTTTTTGTTTTTTTTCAAGTTAAAAATAAAAAATATACACGAAAGAAATGATTGCTTATTACTTTGCTAAACTGTTCTTTAATGTAAAATATGAATTCTTTTAGCCATCCAATAGAAAAACCACTTCATTTACTTCGCTTGCCTGACATGGATTGTGATTGTACGTGGTAGGCAATAAAATAAAAGCAGTAGCCTGGTGATAATCGACAGAACGCCTGCTTTTTTTTTGTATTCTTTTCTTTCCTTACAATTACCTATTCAAATACACGCGTATGCAGGAGGAAAATATGCAATGGGTTGAACAATTACCAACGAACAAATATTTAAATGGCACAGTAATAATTGCAGGTTAATATTACTTAATAATTAATATTCGTACGTTAGGAATATTCAAGTCAAACTTTAGAGATGTTTATTATTGTCCGGGTAATCATGAATTATGGACACGATCCGGTAGAGAAGATGAAGAACTGCATATTGATAATTCTATAGGAAAATTCCAGTATGCATTATGATCATTATTTACTCATATAAATTTATTTGATTTTCTCTAGATACTGAAAACTTGCGAAAACATTTTGGCGTACATACCAAATCGGGTGTTACTACTCTTAATCTAGTTTTAAAGAAAATAGAAATAATTCTAAAATCATTACATTTTCACATTTTTTAACAAGCAAGTATGTGTGATTAGCATTATATTACTAAATTTACTCTACTTTTATCTTAATAT